GAGGCCGGGCGGGGATTCGCCGGGTGCCCCAACATGTTCCCCTATAATATTTAGAAATTAATTTTGTAGACTTGCTACCTAATCAGCTCTTTTCCTCCTGGATTTCTGCAATTTATTATTCACCTGAAGTGTGGAAATATTAATTCCTTTTGAATGCCTTTTTTTTTAATTACTCTGAAACTTTAATTTTCTGAAACTCACCATTTTGAATTGTGATCCTGCCCCATTGTAGAGTGAATACACATCCAATTAGCAACTTTTCTGTTTAAGAATAAGTGGAAATATTTAACTGTGATTTATAAAGGAATAACACTTTTTATAACTTTCCAGATTGATAAGGAATCTCTTTCAACAAAGTGCACATTCCTGGACAGTCAAATTTTCTTCATATTTTTACGAAGAACAGAATGATTTTGCATATAACATAATGTGATGACTTTCCTCAACTTCTTCCCTTCTCCATATTCTCTTAGCTTTGGGTTCCCACAAATGAAATAGTTTTATAATTTGTTTAGGATAAAAATACTGTTTTTCTAAAAATTGCATTAATCAGTCTACAATTTCATAGCCCTTCTTTCTCCAATTTGTGAAGTTTTTTGCATTGGGAAGAGTTTAAAGATAAGCCTTTTACAGTCTCCTTGAAGCCTCCATGAATTCTTAAAGGTAATTCCTAATGATCTGAAATTGCTGAAACCAGTTCTGTGAATTGAGCAGGTCCAAACTTCCTGAAAGTATTTAAAGTTCAAGGACTCACTGAAGTTATGTTGCCCTACTTTAGTCTAAACACTTTTACATGTGTTTTTTTTGTTAATTTGGTACCTTATCTGATCAGCATTAACCTTTTCAGAGAAGACAGGCACAGGAAAGTCATCAAACTGTTTGATTGTCTTTGTAATGTCATTTCATGGTTTTCTCTTCCTGCTGGGCAACAGATGAACTAGTTCCTAGGATTTCCTTTTATTCTTGCTTCTAGAATGTTGCTTTTTATCCTTAATATTGATTGTTAATTGTACTGTATTTTTTGCTTTGACTTTTATGCATTTGTCCCTGCGTAAGTTTTATGTTTGTTTGTTTGCTTTTCTGTTTGTTCTTCACATTCTGAATTAAATTTCACTTCTTCCATACTTATTTTTCTGAGTTTCAGTTCACTGAAGAATTCACGTTGCTTCTTTTTCTACACTTTCTGTGTTTTGTCTTAGCATAGCTTCTGCTTGGCCAGTAGTGTGCTTTCTTTAAGGAATTCTCATTTCACCTGAAAAACTGTTTTCCGTACAGTTGTTTTCTGTGAGATATTTCATATAATTGTCTGAATTTATTAACAACTCTTTTCATACATATTTTTTGTTCTGTCACTGTCTCTGCTTCTCAAGAATTATTCAATGATCCTTGTCATTTAAATTGCTTTAACTTTCTTGTTTTCAGTCAGGTCTCTGTTCTTGTCAGTACTACATCTAGAATAGCTCTCATTGAGTCATTTGCCTATTTATTGTTTGAAAAGTTTCTGTCAAAACATCCTAGTAGTTTCTCTGGACAATTTATTTCATGTTACATTCCTTGTTAATTGTATGAAGATCAGTGGTGTACTTTCTAAAAATATGGCCATAACCTTATTAATTTCAATAGAAGTATATAAAAATAGAATCTCAACAGAGTCTTGATTCAGTAGTTTGTTTTATTTAGGGAAAAAAGCGTAAGAGGCAAGAGGGGAACAGATATATTCTGAACACACTTCTTTTAAGAGCAAGAGATCTCCCTGTTTTGTCTTTTCATTTTGGGTAAAATCTTATATGTTAAAGTTCCAGTTTTATGCAGATATAATGCTTAAATCATGGGACACCTCAAGGTGGATGCTTACATCAGGAATGCTGACAAATCCTTATTAAAGCTGTCAGTTACTTGTAGAATGAAGTGCCTTTAACCCTGCTGAGTGCTGATGTGGAGATTTAGGGCTGTATGAATTTGATAAGTTACCCTGGAGAGTTTATCTGATTATTCATTGAGACTTGTATTTGGTGCAGCAATTGCATCTACTACCAATTGTCTTACCTTACTTGGTGCTTATTTTTTTATTATTGTGAAAAATGAAAAAAGCCTGTCTAAAACATGAGAAAGACTGAGTTGTGTATTCAACCTATCAAATACAACTTGAATATTGGTGCCATATTGTAGTGGAAAACTTTACCTTTTGTGTTTTTCTTTTTCCTTTCAGCTTTGTATTTGAGGAAGGTTACCCTATATTCAGAAACAGATGTAAAAATCCTATATTTTGCTGAATGTTGTTTCTTCCCATAATTATGAGTATTCTGCCAATCATTTTTATTTGTTTGCCGTTCTGTTTGCACATCATTTTATGGAAAAAAAAGTGTATTTTAAATTAAATATAAGAAGATAAATGTTTAAAGAAAATAAATTCAGTTTTCATGGAATGTGTATCATAGAATTTGCTTTTTGAGTTAACTTTTTTTCTGGTTTTGCTGCAGTGTTGTAAATGGCAGCCTATAACTTGAGGCAACAGAACAGTATGTGATTTTGGTGACTTTTTCCTCCCGCTGTGGGTTTTCTGTACTTAGCAAAGCATTGAGAAAATAGTTAAAATACTTGCGTAAAGAGAAGTGTAAAACCTAATACTTAAAGCATTTGATTGATGTTTGGGGTTTGAATTATTTTTTTTTCTGTTGCCAAAGCACATTGTTTCTGCATTTTAAGAGGCTTACAACGCCCACCCAAACAATATATTTGTTGTTAATGTGTAAGGTAACTTGTTAAGGAACACATTTAAAGTTAGTGTTTATATGAATTCCTGAAGATATGTCTATGGTGTTTACAGTGTCATTTTTTTCAAATAAAAAAGAGAAAGAGGGTCGTCTGACTAGCTTCAGTTTGAAAATAAATAAAGACTTTAGACAGATATAACTAAAAGTTAAAAGGATTCTACTTTTCATTTTACTTCTTTGTACAGGGAGTGGTATCACGACAGTGTACTACTTTAGGTTAAAAATAAAAGAAAGGTGTGGAGGCACTCATTATCCATTCTGTCTTTTTAATTTTTACAGGAAGAGCCATATGTTATGTTCAAGAAGTCTGACAAACCCTTGTACGGAAATGATCGATTTGAAGGTTATTGCATTGACCTCCTCAGGGAGCTGTCTACTATCCTTGGATTTTCCTATGAGATTAGACTGGTGGAGGACGGAAAATATGGAGCCCAGGAAGATGCCAGCGGACAGTGGAATGGAATGGTTCGTGAACTAATTGATCATGTAAGTTAACTTTTGGAAGCTTTCTACTATCCATTTAGATTTCAATTCTATCTATACAAATTGTAAAACTTTTATGATAATGCCATTTGAATAGTACTGTTTTGGAAAATGCAGATGTTTAGAGAAGTAATGCAAGTAGATTCACATCAATGTTTTCTATAATGTAGAATTTGTTTGTTAAACAAAGAGTATTCTGCATGTCTGCTTTACCTATAGGCAGTGTTTGTTTCTGCCAAACTGGTTTAGCTCTTCTGTGGCATATCCCTAAGTAAAAATATGGAATAGATGGTATTCAGAATTTATTTCTGAGAACAAATACATGTTTTTTTGTGACAAAATATATGTCTTTATCAATCAATAGAAGTCAGGCTTCTTCTGATGGTGGATCTGAGAAATTTGTCTTAGATAAATTTCTGTGCGCGTAGTGTAAACACATAAATTATTTGATATACACAAAGAAAAGGAATATCTTTCTTGAAACATTAACAATAAAGTGCAAGCAGTAAGGCAAAAGTATCAACATATACTGAAGCAACAAGGTAATGCAATGTGTGTCAAAACAGATACCATTACAGTTACTTGTAAATGATTAAGGCAGGCATTACTTCATGTCCTTCAAAGCATGCTTTCCCAGTTGGTCATGACAGTTGAATTCAGTCTCTTAGAAACATTTTAGTCAATTTGAAAATTATGTCATTGTTCCTTTTTGCATTTATTTTGGTGAATTGCTCGATATAGAGACATTTGATCAAAGAATGAGATAAAACATACTCTGCACATCACTGTCACTTAAAATAAGAAGGGGAGACTATAGCTAATTCGAGTGAAAGCTTCTAATGATGGCAGAAACTGCATGAATAACTTGAAGAAAAATATTCACTAATCTTGTTTCAATTTGCTTTAAGATTTCAGCAGATGGGCAGAACATGTGCTAATCAAAATATTCATATTTACCAGAAGGGTTGTTATCTTTGTGCTTTTCTAGTAAATAATAATCTGGTATTGCTGTTGCAACGGATGTTGATTATGCCTAGCTTCACACTTTTAAGAAGAATGCATGGGAGTATTATATTTATATTATCTTTAAATGTGTGTGTGTATTACACCAAGTACACATATATAGAAAGCAAACAGATATTTAGCTAGACTCTCTGTCCATCTCTATACATGCATATTTTCACATGTATAAATGCATAGGCATGCATAGCTATTAGTTTTGATGTTTGTTAGGTAGTATCATAATCTGGAACTAATTTTCCATGGTTGGGGTGGATATTGTGGGAGTATTTCTTATATAATTTTTCAGAAGCAAAGAAAAATCACATTTTGGTATGCTTTTATTATTCAGCCCTAAAGCTTTCTTGAACAAGCACTAGTACGGCGTCCTAAGCTTTTCACTAAGATAATCTTGAAAAAAAATGCATTTGAAGAAGTTGCAGCAGTAAAGTATATGGAACAGGAGCTTTTCCAATCCTTTTCTCTTGATAACACAGAATGGAACATGTGTTCCTATTTCCCATAGATAACATATAACTAAACTTAGATTAAAATTTATTTTGGCTTTTGAAATGGTGTTTACTTAGGAGTCAAAAAAGTTTAGATACTATGCTTAGTGCATCATGGAAGATGTAGTCTAACTTCTTAACCTGGATCATAACTTCTACTAGTCTCTCTCAATTTCTCAATTGTTAAAACTTTCCTTTAAAATTTTCTCTGTTTTTACTTATTCTTATTTTGTAATCTATTTGAATACATGCAATTTATTTATGCATCTGTGCCCTTTATTTGCATGCATCTTATTGGTACATTTTATTAGCAAGCAACACTTTAGACCTCAGAACTGATGCACAAGAATTTAGAGAAGAATTCCAGATAGACAGTTACCATATTTGATGTTTCCATATGGTTAGTACTTCTGTTGGCCCATTAGCTTAGCTTTTCAGTCTTTCTTTTCCCTTAGAGAATATTTTTTAAAGTGTCAAAAACGTTTTGTTTTGTATAAAGTAATGTAATAAACTCAATTACTATTTCTTTCGGAAAGGTGAAATGATTCTGTCTACATATTTCAACCTGAGTTTCCAATTAAAATAAATAGACTACAGAATAAATACAGAGTCCTGAAAGTTGCCATAGTCTTTAAATCTATTTGAAAAATATTTTTTGAATTTATTTTATTTTTATCTACATGTTATATTTTAACCGTCAGTCACTTAAGTTCAGAAAGAAAGGATACTGTAGTATGTATCTTTACAAGGGTAGTTTGTAGCATTTGTAATTCAAGAATAAATAAAATGGATATTGTCTCTATATATGTGTGTAGAAAGGAAGATGCACAATTTATATAAAGATAAAAAGTACCAAATAGAATTTAAATTTTTAAATAAACTGTTTAAATCTGTGCTTAGTCACTTTACATAATTGCTTGGATTCAAAGGTGTAAGTGAAATGAAGACAATGCTACCTGAACTGAGCTCAGCATATCATGTCAGTCTCAGGCTTGAAATTCTATAGTGTGAACAGAGACTGAAGCCTTTACATCAGTCTTTGTGTGTTTTCAGTCTCCTTTCCCATGGTTTACTCGCATTTCTTCTTTCTTTGACTGTTTTACTCAGTATTCACATATGCCATCATTCTGATATTGGTCTCCAAACAATGACTAGTTTCCTTTTGAATAAATGATACATATTGAAAGTGAAAAATTAGTTCAGTGGTTCCTTCCCTTTGACAAGTGAATGATAATGAATTCTTGTTGGAAAAGACAGGTCTCTATAGCTGCAAATGGGAGAGAAATATTCACTAGGACAGCAAATATCGATGAGATTTCCCTATGAAAACATTTTAAATTTATTTACTCCAGTTAAGCAGTCTGATTTCTTTGCCACAGTTTTTCATTCAATATTTTACTCTCCTCTCTGGTTAATTCAAGTCAAGGGTGTTAGATATTTGGGGGAGGGGGAGCTAAAATCCAGGTATCTCCATCCTTCATGGATGCATTCTTCATAAAGAAGTATTCTTTATACTGAGTTGTTGCCTTTGGCTCAAGAACTTTATTCAAGGATAGAATTATTGAATAGGTTTTGAACTGAATTATAAATTCTGGAGATTTCAGGTTGTTCTGTGGTGCTAAAAGTTGTTATGGCACTGTATGGCACTCATATATTGTATGAGATATATAGTATGAATGTGTAAATTATGTTCCCCTATAGCTAGCAGTTACTGATAGAATAAAAATATATAATTTTGCTTTTTTTCTGTAAGACATTCTACTTTACATCTCCAAAATTACGTCAAAACATTCTTATCCTTGGGTTCTAAAAGAGACAAAAATTACTATTTTATACTTTCCCAGAGATATAAATGAAAGTGAAAAATCCACTGGGAAGTAATTTGTTATTATTATATACCATTAAAAATAACCTCTTTTTTTCTTGGCTCTTTGTTTGAATGATTCTTCTACAGCACAAAGCTTATGCATTACAAATAGACTTTAAGGCTTGCAGATCTTTTATGATTCATAATTAATTATAGAAAAGGTCCAATTTTTAGATCATGACTGTTCTTTTATTATATGTGAGGATTAAATGGGAACTTTTCTTCATATCTGAGAAGAGTAGGATTTTCAGCTTAGAGGAAGTTAAGACTTCCACAGCTGGACAATTAGAAAGCACTGCCTAATCTGAATTATCTTGAGACATAGCTTTGTGTTTTACTTCAGTATTTTTTGAATTTTTTAAAATCAATATCTTACTAATAAATGTTTACATACAAAATGTTTGCATTTATGAAAATAGTAGTGGCCTTTTGTTCTCTCAATAACAGAATAGTTTCAGATGGTTATATAATCAGTTTAAAATGTTTCTGGAGACACCTTCCTCCAATAACTTGTTATTTTTCTTCTTCCCCCCCCCTCCCCCCATTTAAGCACCTTATATTCTTGAAGGACTAGAGCCAAGCTCTTTGTATTACTGCGTAGAAGTGAAAAAAAGCTTCCAATAAAGAACTATATAGATTTTTGGTTGCTTCCTTTCTGAGACAAAGAAAAATCTATATGAGTAAAGGCATTTAAGTTTTTTCCATCTTTTTCTTTTCTCTTCCTCCCCTTTTCAAATGCAGTTTCATCACATTGTTTGGACTCTCTCGTTTCTTCATACTTACATCAAGTCCTCCTCTGTAGAGCCTCATAAGGAAAGGCTAAGGAGCTTCTCTTGCCTCTTCTCCTGATGAATAGATACAGTCTTCCTCCTTATGACTTTCATGGAAAAGGTCTGACAGTAGAGATTTTCAATACAATGCAGGACAGTTTAGCCATGCCTCTTTCATTAATCAAAATCTCAGAAAATTTGACAGTAGGAGGGAGTTAGAGACTCTTTAAGAGAAAAAAAGATGAAGCATTCTGTCTTTTTATACCAACTTCATATGTGATGGACAATAAAACCTGTGGTCTGTAGTGCTCTTTAGAGCACCATATCTGCTTGATGGTTGCCTCACTGTATTAGCGAAAACGCTGGTCTGATGTCAACATTTTCAAAGTTATGTGTAACACTTAACTTCTACTGATTTTTTTTTCAAATGATGCTCTTAAATTAATATACTGACACTTACTCATATACTACTACTTATTGAACATTATTATTAGTCCATTTTCAAAATATTTCTCCATAGAGGATCACAGGATTGTAACTTCTTCATTTAACGATAATTTTTTTTTATCAAATAGAATGCTGTATCACCTCCTCCTTTCTGTATTTTTCAGAGTGACTTAGTTGTTTTTTTTGCAAGACTCCCTAGATTTTTGCTAAGGGCTGCTGTGCTAGTCATCATCATCAGGTTCAAATAATAAGAATGTTTTGCAGGACAGCGTAATTAGTAAACCAGAGGCAGAATATCAGTGGTGTTTTGCCTTACTTGTCTGAATTTGGAAAATTCAGGACTTTGGCACAGTGGCTTATCTCTCTTCCTTTGTGGCCAATATTTCTGACTGTGAGCTGTCATTCATTTCA